CCTTCACAGGTCGGCGGGGCCACAAGCTGCTCCCCAGTTAGTTGGAGCCTCCCAACCGAGAACAGCCCGAGCGCCCTCCCGACCTCCACCCGGGCATGAACGACTCCCCGCCCCCCATCCGCCTGCCAATCCGCCGCGCGCCTCCGGCACCTGAGCCGCCACCTCCCGACCCCGCGACCGCGGGCACAGCCCGCAGCCACGGGAGCACGTCCTTCCGGAGCTCGAAGTCGGTCACCAGACGGAGCGCCATCGCCCGGACGCGGCCACCAGGCGGCTGAGAGGCCCCGCGCCTTGGGCATTCCCAGCCCTCTGTCGACACCCCGGCCCTCTCTGCCCCTCTCCGCCCCGCGCCCGCCCGCTCCTTCCTCCCTCCCGCCTCTCCGGGGCGGCCGCCGCAGCCCGCAGCTTTCGGTTCTGCTACGTCCCGGCCTGAAGCTGGAGCACCGCCTCCTCCCGGCCGGTGCCCGCGCTCGCCCTCTTCCCTAGCCCGAGGCCCTCAGCAGCACCTGAGCAGCGCTCAGGGCACTACCGGGCTGGGTGGGAGGAGGTGCGGACCCAGGCCCGGAGCACTCAGCCTGCACCTTCAGGCCGGAGAACAGCGGGGCGGGAGCATTGGGGCTCTTTTAGGGCCTTGACGATGTGGCTAGACCAAGTTTTGAACTTTTGCTGCACGTTGATGTGGAAACTAGATTTCTTTATCTCCAGGCGATTCCATTGTGCGGAGAAGTTTGAAACCATTTGGCAAGAGGAAGCTCGGTCACCTGGGAGGTGCAATGTCACCGCGGTGGCAGAGGAGAGCAGCGTCTGGAGCCTCTTGGACCCAGCTTCTGGGGGGTGGTGCTCTATTAGCGTTTAGGTAGTAAGTAGCAGCTGGGCACGTGGGAAGGTGATTCTGCTCCTACAGAGTCAATAGAAAGGTTAATCTGCTTAACACGAGCAGGCCTCTTTGCCTGTTCCTTCCCTACCCTGGTTCCAGGAAGCAGAATTGTCTAAGATTCCCTCTGGAGATTTGTCTTTAAAAGGTGCTTTCATTCTTCCAGGGAACATCTGGAAGAAAACTATCCCAAAACAATGTAGTTGGGCACATCTGGGGAGTGCCTCCTCTCATACTCTTCCCTCTCCCTGCAAATATGTCTGGTGTTTTCATAACCGCCCTCACCCCTTGCTATCTCTTCATAAGCACACATCATTGATACGCTTATTGGTCGCTCTGCCTTTGGCACCAGCAGATCCAATCCTGACCATCAATGACAGGATATTTTACTCTTCTAAAACTGAACTACGCTCATGTCTCTCTGCAGAAGACCTGGAGTGACAGCTTGCTGCCCCAGAATAAAGTGACTACTATTGTTTTTTCTCTTTGGAGAATTATTTTACTTAACTTTATTTTTTTTATTTATTTTAATTTGACCAAAGAGAGAAAGTGAGAAAGCAAGCCACCAGGTCTGGGACTCAAACCACAGTCAGCCATGTGGGAGTCCAGCACCCTTAACCACCACACCCTACCGACCCCAAAAGTGACTACTCTTTATCTGACCCATTAAGGCTTTCACCTACACCTTTCCACTACTCACTACCACACAGACAGGAAAATCCTTGGCCCTGTAAAGTGCATGAAGATGTAAGAGGAATGCCTGACAAAGCTGCTAATATCAGGTCAAATGAAGCTTCTTGCCTTTGCCATATAAAAAATTCTTCACTTATTCTTTTTTTTTTTTTCCTGCCAGAGGATGCATGCATTGGCCAGAGTGAACTCCCCAAATGGTGGGACCAGCTGTTGGCGTGATGGCTATGTCGCTGGATTCCCATGTAGTCGACTGCGATTCGCGTGTTGGACCTGGTTACTCACGCCGGGCACGTGTGTGTGCGTGCTCAAGATCCAGAGAGGAGAATGGAGGAGAAGGGATTGCGGCGTGGCCATCCCCCCTGGGGGGTGATTTCTAGCTTTCTGTCTCTCTGTCTCTCTGTGTCTGGCAAGTGCACACGCCCTATGGCAAAAACCTCTCCAAAAAAAAAAAAAAAAGAACTCCCCAAATGGGTGTGGTCATATCTCATCAAACCTTTTTCCTCCATTTCTCCATAACATCAGGACTTGGGGCATGCAGGCACATATGCCTGGCATGTTTTTCAACACAATAACCAGATTGGGACTCCAAACACAGTCATTTGGGATCCAACTCACTGTGCACAATGCTTAACACTGCACTGCTGGGCTGGACCTTCACGTGCCTTTTTAAAATTCACTAAGTTTCCTTCATTTTTGTTTTGCAATTAACTTCTCTTTTTGCCAAACAGCACTGTTTGTTTTAGATGCAGTCTTGCTCTGGGGTCCCAAGTAGCTGGGACCACACTTTCATTCTACCAACCCCAGCTTCTAATATGGGAACAAACCTGGATCTCCCTCTGAGGCCTGAGCCCACTGAATAGCAGCATGAACCAGTAGCGGGGCCTACACTTCTAAAGAAATAAGTAATCAATGTGGTCATCTTTATTACTCCCCCAAATCCATTTATGCCCAGTCAGATGGTAACAGTTCCTCTTACCAGTGTTAAATTTAAAAATGGGCACAAGTGGAGCTGGCAGGTAGCATGGTGGTTAAGGCATTGGACTCCCACATGGTCGATAGCAATTCAAGTCCTGGACCTGGTGGCCTGCTTTCTCTCTTTCCTTTTTACTCTCTCTCTCTCTCTCTGATCAAATTTAAAAATATGAAGAAAAAATGGAATTGAATAAATGAATAGTCTTTACAAAGGAAAGAATAGGCCCATGCATCAGTTAGAATGAGGTTCACAAGAAGTTAATGAAAACAAAAATGAACAGTAAGTCAAGCACAGATCTGCAGGTAGGCAGTCCAAAGCACATACATGGGGCAGGTCCCTGAAATCGTCAGGGACCAGGCTCCTTTCAGCTGTTTGTTCCACCAGACCTCAAGTGCACCCTTGTACTTATGGTCCCAGAGGACCAGGAAAGCTTCAGCCACCATGTTAGCCTTCCAGGCGTCATAATGGAGGAAGAGATAAAAGGGATTACTATCCCTCTCTTAAGGATATACCCACAAGGTCTACACATTTCTACTTAAATTTTATTGACCAGAATGTAGTCGTATGGCCATATATCTCTTCTGGGGAGGTCAGTGATATGCCCAGGAAAAAAATCAGTGCAATATTACTAAAAAGGCAAGAAAGAATAGGGATATTCAGAAGCAACTAGAGATCCCTGTCATACTCTGAAACCCAATGGATAGGAAAACCTCTGAGTCAGCAGGTGGCATGATGGTTAAGGCGCTGGATTTCCCACAAGGCAGACCACAGTTAGAGTCCTGGATCTGGAGCTTGAAAATCATGCTGGGTACAGGTGTGTGCCAGGAGAATAGAAAAAGGATTGTGGTATGGCCATCCCCCTGGGGGATGATTTCTCACTTTCCCCCTCACTTTCTCTCACTGTCTCTCTCCAGCAAGTGCATGAGCTCTGTGGCAAACAAACAAACAAAACCTCTGCTGTGGTGTTTCTGGGAAAGATTTCTGTATTCCTGAAAAAGGAGACATGGGAAAAGACAATCCCTTTCTGCCTTTAGATCTGTTGAGGTCTGGCTATGATTCATGGAACTCCAACTGTCTTCAGACTAGACTTCATTACCAGATTGAAGACAGACTCAACTGAGGGAGTAAAGAGGAGCCCTGTTAAATCATTTTCAGAACCAGCCTTGTTGCTGACCTTTTTTGATACTAGAGATATCAAATTTCCCTATTATTTAAACAATATTAAGTCAGACTTTTATTTTACTTGCAACTAAGATCTCAAATTTTTTACAGAATTTTTTTCAACTTTCTTTTTTTTCCACACAAAAGCCTGTATTTGAATGTTTATAGCAGCATTATTCATAATAGCCAAGAAGTAGAAACAAACCAAATGTCCATCAATGAATGAATAAATAAAATGTCATAGCTGCATGTAATAAAAAATTATTGAGCCATAAAAAGGAACGGCATCCTGACACTTGCCGCTACATGGGTAAACCTTGAAAGCATACTTAGGGTAAGAAATCAGATCCCAAAGGACACATGTCATGTAAATCCATGTATGTGTTATGTGAAGTGGAAATTGCCAGAATAGGGAAGTCCATCGTGACAGGAAGTGAGTATGTAGCTGTATGTACCTGTTAGGGCTGGAGAGAAGAGGGGTAAGGTGCTGCCATTGGGTAAGCGTTTCTCTTTGAGGGTGGAAATTTTTCTTTCAGGTTCTTTTTTTTTAATTTATTATCATCATAATCTTGTTTATATTACATTTAATTGCATATATCTTTACAGTGTATTACATTGCTTTTTCAAAAGGGATTGCCATGCATGTCAGTCAATACAGAGACATTAAAACACCCACTTCATCATTCAATATGTTTTCATTGTTTTTTCCAATCATTATTATTATATTCCAATTATTTTTTAAACAGTCGATCACTATTTCTCATTTTTCTTGTAAAAAGACTTTACCCATCATGAAATATTTCTCAGACCAAACCAGTTGATAATACTATACACATCATCATCAACAGGTAATAAGCCCTATCTGTGTCCCACTAATGTCATGTTTCTCTATTTGTTCTCTTGCTATCTTTCTCTATCCTCTTCTCTTCACACCCCCTCCATTCCATACTGTCTTATTCTTGTTAAGTACTTTCACTGCTTTTATGTCCTCCAATATTTTGCTCTCTACCATAGAGCGTGGATAGTCAGTATATATTGAGTGGATACATACAATATCTTTCTTTCATAGCCTGGCTTACTTCACTCAGCAATAGATCCTCCATATCTGACCACTTTCTATCAAATGCCAGGGTCTTGTTATTTTTTTATGGCTGAGTAGTATTCCATAGAGTATATATGCCACACTTTTCGAATCCATTCATCAGTTTGGTGGACACTTAGGTTGGTTCCATGTCTTGGCAATTGTGAATAATGCTGCAATAAACATGGATGTGCAAGCACTTTTCTGACTGAGCGTTCTCCTGTCTTTTGGGTAAATACCCAGAAGTGGGATTGCTGGATCAAATGGTAGTTCTATTTGTAGATCTTTGAGGAACCTCCATATTGTTCTCCACAGTGGTTGAACTAGTTTACATTCCCACCAACAGTGTAGGAGGGTTCCCTTTTCACCACATCCCCGCCAACACTTATCACTTTTTATATTCTTAATCTTTGCCATTCTGACAGGGGTTAGGTGGTATCTCATTGTGGTTTTTATCTGCATCTCCCTTATGATGAGGGATGTTGAGCATTTCCTCATATGCTTTTTGGCTGTTCGTATGTCTTCCTTAGAGAGACTTTTGTTCAGCTCACTTTCCCATCTTTTAATCGGGTTAATCATTTTTT